TTGGAAGAAGTACAACCAGAATGCTCCTTAGAAGCCAGGATGGCTAGACTTCGTGTCTCCTACTTTGGACATATCATTAGGAGGGACAAATCCCTTGAGAAGGGTACAAAGATTTTATGCTTGGTAAAGTGCAGGGTCAGTGAAAAACAGGCAGATTCCCTTTCAAATACATTGGTACAGTGGCAGCAGCAATGGGCTCAAGTAGAACAAAAGTCGTGAGGATGTGCAGACCCAGGCAATGATTTGTTCCACTGTGCACAGAGTCACGATGAGTTGGAACCCACTTGACAGCACCTAACAACATTTATATAGGGTTTAGTTTACAAAGTATTTTCATATAAAGTATTTCATTTAATCACCCTGGCAAGGAAAATCTACAACTACCTCAACAGATAAGATTCAGAGTCACAGAGTTGATTCCAACGTATCCAGTGGAGTGGCTGGTGAGTTTAAACCACTAGGATCTTGGTTAGCAGCTGAGTGTCTAACTGAGTGTCTGTCAGTAGAGCCACAAGAGCTGCACAACTACCTTATGTTGTTATACGTTGCCAAGTCGGTTCTGAATCACAGTGACTTCACTGAGAGTGAAACTATAGGGGTTTCTAGGCTGTAATCCTGGTGGGAGCAGATTGCCTTAGAAGCCACTAGGTAAGTTCAAATCAACTTTTCTGAATATCAGCCAAGCACTTAACTGTTGCATCACCAGTACACCTTTCTGTTCAGGTGTGATGCTGTAGGATCAGCACTGTACTGCTAACTACAAGGTCGGTGGTTCAAACCCATCAGCCGCTCCTTAGAAACACTATACCAGCACATTAGCCCACAGTGCCACACCAGGACTTGCTATTAACTGGCTTCTGGATGTCCACAAAACCCATCTACTGCTTTCCCTGAAGTAAGTCTCCCAATGTTGAAAAGCATGACAATGTGTCCCAAATCTTCTGTTTTCCAGGTGTATCCGTTCAAGTCCCTTATATGATAAAGTTTCCAGACTCTACAAAATCAGTGAACTGTCTTCTGGTAGCTCCCCAAAGTACTGCTGTCCTTCAATGTAGCACTTGAACTACACAGATACGAACCAGCAAGAACTTATTTAGTACAGGGTATAATAATGAGACTTTCAACTCCCTTGTCTCAGAATCCCACATAGTATAACCTAAGACTGGTATTAGGATTAGCCTGGATAGCTATATAATTTATCATCTGTGCTGGGATGTTTTTCAGTGTTGTTCCGGGGCATACTAGGGTGAATGGTAATTTCACCAAAAACCCAGAAGTTTCTCATAGTTTTTCTTGTTAAGTGTACCATCAAGTTGGTTCCTATTCCTAGAGATCTTGTATAGGATTTCCAAGGAGCTGCTGGTGGGTTTGAACCACCAGCCTTGTGGCTACCAGTCCAATCTAGGCTATATAACAAACTGTGGAACCCAAAACCAAAGTCATCTAATTCAAGTTAATACAGTAAGGCGCTCACACAAATGGAAATCAGAGCTTTAAAATGCAGACACAACACACTCACAGCCTTAGTGAGCCTACCCATTCATGCTAAATAACGTAGCCATCTTCAGAAATCTATTTTGTAGCAGTCTGAATCTACTAGAAGGCAGTGGAATGAATTGTGAAGTTTAAAATACATCTGAGTGATTGCAAGTAAATGACTTCTTGACCAGTCCCCCGATTCTTAAAAATTACAGGGAGAATGAAGAAGATAGAACAGCAGACCTAATGTGTAGGTTTTTCTATTTTTTACACAAAGCTTTACTTTCATTTTCCAAAGTCTCGTTATATTAAGTACTTCTAGTTCAATTTTCACCATCTGCTAGAAAAGAAATTCAGTGAGTTCCAGTAGGAGGAGAATTAAGAGGCAGATATATTAAAATAAATGTTAGCTGAAAATGTATAATCTATTCTCTTAAACAGGTAAACAGGAAACAATGAGAAAAGTCATGATGAATCATAATATATGCAAAAAGTTATGGTCTGAATTTGTTAGTTGGGTTTTTAAAATGTATTTGCTGTTTTTGTTTTCTTAATAAATGACTTTCCATGTATTTTTAACATGTCAGTTCGCCAGTGATATTCAACACAGAAAACAGGCACCTGTAGGGAGGAGGGGCAAGGAGAGACTAGAAGTCTCTCAAAACGTGGGCTGGGACACACATCTGTGAAAAGCTTGCGAGACCCTATTTGATACGCCTGTGCAACACAAACTACATTCATTCCACAAATGATAGGCAGTGAAGCAAGGAGGGATATGGTTAAAAAAGGCTGAGAAAGATGACACAAAAAGGACTCTGTACCTAAAATGGGGTGGGGGTGGGGTATAAAGACATGAAAGGAGCTCAAGTAGCATAGCAGTTACGAACTGGGCTGCTACCCTCAGAGTCAGCAGTATGAAACTACCAGCTGTTCCACAGGAGAAAGATGAGGCTTTCGGCTCCCATAACCTCGGAAACCCTGTACAGGGTCCCTATGAGTCAGAACCGACTCCATAGCACCTAACCACCACCATAAAGGCACGAAGTGACTGGCTTACAAGTTTTTAAGAGGGAATTTAGTTTCAGAGTGTGCAGTAGAAGGTAGAATCCCCACTGAATAGTTTTCATCTTGTCTAGACGGGTCTGGTGAAAGGAAATGGGGATAAGATTCTTAGGATTCAATAGTGAGTAATTGCAACTGTCACAACTGTGAAGGCAAAAGTTTTGTAATACAAACAGAGGAGTAGTTAGTCTTACATTCCAGGAACAGAGGACCCTAGGACCATCAATGGAGAGAAGCACGAGCGGATGTGGGACCCTATGCAGAGAAGCAGCGACACCAGAGATGGAGGCAGAGATGAGGACATGGAGAGAGGGAGCAGATGAGGACTCTAGACTCATGGAAAGAGAAAGGCTGTGTGCTGGTGTCCAGGAGGCAGGCTTGCAGAATGTGCCCTTTGGTTGTTTAAATGACTATATATTCCTGAGTGTTTTTGTGTACATCTAAAAAAAACCCAGAAGGAATGGAAGGAAATACTGTTGAATGAAATGAAATACGCTAGAATGAATGTAAAACTGATGTTCTCCCATGTAAACTATCACTCAATTCACAATAAAAACTTAAAAAAAAAAAAAGGACTCTGCAGGACAGGACAATAAAAGCAAATGTGGTTCAACTATTTGATTAAAAATGCCTTTCTTCTCATATGAGATTTCGATGATTCACTGGCAGACTCACTCACCTCCGTGAAGAAGCGCCGCTCTGCAGGTGGAGGACACAGCAGCCTTGGCATCACTTTCAGAAAGGCCAAACAGCAATCCTCTGAGGGGTCGTTAAAGACTTCAACCCAGAGTCAGCCGAGGACATATGAATAACACAGACACACCTGCAAGTGTCAGCTCACCAGGTCACAGTGACAAATAGACTGACACCCACATCTGAGAGACAAAGTTTGTAGAGTATAGAGGAATCCTTCATTCCTCTTTCTACTTCACCCTTGACCCAGAGAACTGTAAGAGATGCTTTTCACAAGCTGGCATAGTAATTTTCAAAAAGGTATTAATCAGTCAAAATGCTGCGAAAACATTTTGTTCCCTTCGGTACCACTACAAAATCCAAATTTCCTGAAAGAAAAGTTTAACTCAGAAAAGGATACAAGTTTGCCACATCATATGGCCCTCTGATTTCTAAAGGCTAAAATAAAATGAACAAAACTCAGCCATGAGAGGACAAATTACTCATAACATTTCAATGATTTCATATGGAGTAAAATAAGATACTTAAGTATCCCAAAAGACGACAAAAAAAATTTTAAGTCATAATTTTGATGGATACTTTAAGCTTTTGAAAATATAAGAGAATCCTGAAAAGCATTTTAAACAGTATAAAGGAAATACAATTTACATAAATAAATTTTCAAACCCAAATGGAACAGCGTCAAATTTTACTCCCAAGTAATTACAATGAACAAATTCACAGCTAAAAATGTAAAGGTGCAGTAAGCATTCATTACATTGCTCGTAATTTTTTAGAAGGTTTTCAGGGTTTTATAACTTGAAAACAAAAAGTATTTAATGCCAGACTTACCCCTTCTGCAGCACTAGATATAATTACGTTCTATAAAAGAAGAAAGCACCCTGTATTAATCCTATATAAATGTAAAATATATTATATATAATACAAATACCAGCAATCACATTTTAACAATTAAGGCTCAAATATCAACTTCCCTTAAAGATAAGGTAAATAATTAAAGGGAAAGAATGATAGCTCACATGCTGAACTAAAGGCAATCTTTATAACAAGAAGAATTAGAATGGTGTGGTGTAGTGAATTATCTAATGTCTCTCCTAATCATAGTCTGTAACTCTCATCCAAACAACATTTCTGCCCAGCTGGGTCTAGGTAAGAGAAGGTGGGAGAAGATACGGAGAGGACGCCATGACTCGGCTGTGGATGCTAGCAGAGTTCCTTGTAATTGTAAAAACTTGGAACTCTAAGCATGGGCATAAAATGAGCCATCTCAGAAGCAGGAGGAGGATCGCATTACTATTAAAGAGTCAGGAATGGAGTGCACCCTTGGACCCAGAGATCCCTGAGCAATGAGTCGTCTGCTCAAGGACAGAGAGCTGGGACACTGGAGGATTGGAAGAACAGAAGCAGCAGAACCAAGAAGCAGAGCACTAGACAGAGCAGTGGTCTTGCCAGCAAGTAAAGCTGAGTGACTGAGCAGGAAGCTTACTTAGAGTGGCAAGTCCTCCAGGCACTTAAATGGGGAGCTAGGTAGGTTTGCTGACCCAATGAGCTGAGTGCCTCAGGCTGAGCTTATGGTGGAGTGGTGTGTCCTGTGGACACTTACCAGAAGCTGACTGGAACAACTGTGCCCTGAGCATTTCCTGATCCTGTAATGTAACCAGTTAACTTCCCTAATAAATCCCCAAACTTTGAGTATTGTCTCTGAGTTCTTTGTGACTAGTGACGAACTACTTCCGAATACTTAGTCACTGTAAACCTTATGAATAGCAGAGAAACACTGTCAGATATAGTGCCTCAGGTTGGAAGGCACTCAAAATGAGACTGGGGAAGAGCTGCCTCCTCAAAGTAGAGTTGACCATGATGACGCAAATGGATTAACGCCCGTGGGACCTTCATTTGCTGATGCGGTACAACTCAAAATGAAGAGAAACAGCTGTAAACATCCACTGAAAATTGGAACATGTGAAAATTGGGATGTACGAAGTATGAATCTGGGAAAATTGGAAGTTGTAAAAAATGAAATGGAATGCATGAACATCAGTATCTTAGGCATTAGTGAGCTGAAATGGACTGGTATTGGCCATTTTGAATCTGACAACCACATGGCTTACATGCCGGAAATGACAAATTGAAGAGGAATGGTGTTGCATTCATTGTCAAAAAGAACATATCCAGATCAGTCATGAGGTACAACTCTGTCTGTGATAATATACATGTGCCTACCTGGAAGACCAGTTAATACCACTATTATTCAAATTTACGCATCAACCACTAAAGTCAGTGAGGATGAAATAGAAGAATTCTACCAACTTCTTCAATCTGAAATTGATCAAACATGCAATCAAG